TGATGTTCAGGAAGGGAAGGCTTCACAGAGGAAGTGGTATCTGGTCTCTGGACCTTGGTGTTGAGGTGGGCATTGACAACAGCAGATGTGCAGGCCTATGTTCAGGGAACCACCCACTCATGGGGGCACTTGGATGGCAGCGGCCGGATCACAAGAAGCCCAAGATGTAAGCTAAGGACACAGAGCCCCAAGGGGTAGGGTCACCTGGGCAGGGAAGAGCTATGGTGCGACACTTCAGGGAGGCTGGCAGCCTCCAGTGACTCTTGGAGAAGAGTTCAGGAAGTGTTTGGGCAGGATGTTGGCAGCCTGGTGCAGCCTGCCAGAGGCACGTGGCACATCCTTAAAAGTGCTTCGCCAGCCGGGTCCCCTCTCCGCCCCCTTACTGCACACCCACCCAGGCTAGATCCCTGTCTCCACTCCTTGTTAAACTAGTCTGGAAGGTAAGTCCAGAGTCATTAGGCCCAGATTTCGAACAAAAATGACCCTGGAGATTTTCCCTGTTCTGGGACTCTTTCCTGCAAAGGATCATCTCTCCACACAAAGCAGTACTCACCCTTAACCGTTCAAAGAGCTCCGCCAATTTGAGGAAGCTCCTAGGAGGCAATGGCAGGTATTAGGGCAGTGTCTCAGGAGTGCTGAAAGCCTCCCTCTCCCCTCTTCTGAGCCCCAGCTGGAGCTTCCGCACCTCCCACCCAGAGCTGCCAGGGTGACCCTGGTGGGCAGCCGCAGTATTACAGACATAGGGTAGGAGGGGCAAAAGGGAGGCCTCACATCTTGAGCTGGTTGACTTCCTGTGTTCCCAGGCTGCTCAGTGCAGCTGAGATAGGGATATAGTCATCTGCCAGGCCTGCTGGGGAACAGCCCACCATCAGACCACTGGTCTGCACATCAAGCCCCACCCCAGGTGTTTGTGGCCCAGGAAGGCCATTTCCTGCTCTTTACCCCCACCCAGCAGGACCTCTACAGAGAGGGGGCAGGGAATTCGGGGCCCCTTGGGACCTGCGTACACTTGTGGGAGTGCATGACACGGTCGGCCCGCAGGCAGGCGTCCCGGATGCGGGTGTGGTACTCCAGCAGAAAGGTCCGCTCGTGCTCAAAGAAGTCATCCACCTCCTGAAGGCACCAGACGTGGCCCATTTCAGCTAAGTCACCGGGAGCGTAGCTGCCACGGCCATCCAGGGGCACAGGTCTCCCTCCAGGCCAGTCCCCACCAGCGTCTTCCCTCCCACAGCCACCAAGGCGTCAGTCCTTGCTGTGGGCTGCACCAGAGGGGGGCCCCGTAGGTCACCTTGAGCCCTGACATGCCAGTGATGAGCGCTTCATCTGCAGACTTCACAATGTTCCTCAGAAACCCCCCAAGGAGCTCCTTCCTGTTCTTTCCTCGTACGCTCAGCTGAGGCACATTGGGGGAGAGGGTGTGATGGGGGGGCACTGCACTGCACACCTCCCCCACCCAGGAACAAGTCACTCGGGTCCATTTAGAGCCTGGCACCACCCTCCCCCAGGGGTGACTCTCAGGCTCTGATGCAGCTCACATCTTGGCCATATTCCAAAAAGACAAAGAAGTTGTGGTCCCGATGCAAGGTGGGGTGGGCTGCCAGGCGTTGCAGGAAGACCTCGTGCATGGCGACTGTCTTCTTGAAGATGGCGAGGTACTCCCTGGACAGAGGCAGGCAGGGTGGGCCCTCCTGGGCATGGATACCCAACTCCCTCCCACTGAGGGTCACAGAGGGCATCTCAGACATCCTGGGGGCACAGTCAGGAAGAAATCCTGGGCTGGGGTGGTGGGGGATGGGCCCAGGGCTTTGTGGCAGACTGGGCCAGGAAGCAGCACTCACGCTTCCAGCTCCTGCTTCATTTTGGCAAACTCTTCCCGTGTGATGGAGCTGTCCCCCTCGCCCAGCTTCTGCAGCTTTTCTCTTGAAGCCTCAAAGTCCGGCCTGGGAGGTGCTGGGGGATCTGCTCAAAGGAGGGACAGAGCTGGCAGCGTCTCCAGGCTGAGAAAGCCACTGCCATGCCCCCCCACACCCTGCAGAAGCTGGGCCAGCCCGCCCCCGCCCCCCAACCACCCCTCACGATGAGGCCCGCGTAGTCCTCGTTCTCCACATAGGCGTCGTGCAGCCAGATGAACTCCTCATGCTGCCGCACCACTGAGAACTCGGTCTGGGCGAAGTGGGGCAGGCAGCTCTGGAAACGGGAAACCTGAGGTCTCCTTCCTCCCCTCCCATCTCCCCTCCCTTCCCAGGAACCTTCCAGCCCCATATCCCAGGTGAGGCCCAAGTAGGGCCAGGTGGTCATGCTATCAGGTACGACGATGGGTGGTGGTAGCACTTGGGGCCTGAGGGCAAGGTGGCGGAGCCTGGCAAGGGGCAGGAGCCTGGTGGTGGAATGGGGTCCAAAGGCTCTGGTGATATCTGCCTGCCTCGACCCCTCCCCTATCCAAGAGCAGAGGCTCCCATTCCCCCCCTGAGCCTCACCTTGGTTTGCACAGTGAACTTCACCTTATCCGCTCGCTCACAGCATCAGAGATCTCCACCTGTAAGGAGCTGTCTGCCTGCAGGTCCACCGACAGGGAGGAGGGCTGTGGGGAGGGGAAGCCCTGGTATGTCACCGGGGCCCCCTGGCCCGCCCTGGCCAGGCTGACCTGGCCATCACATAGCGCCCACGGCACTATGTGATGGCTGACCTGGCCATCACATAGCGCCCACGGCAGTAGCAGCGGCCCCACCCCATCCAGGGTCCTGCTAAGTTATTGCCCAGGGTGTTTCAATTCCTGCAGCACTTTTCCACCCTCCCATCCGCTGAAGCTGGATCCTACTAGCTCCCCAGCTTATAAGTGTGGAATTGAGACCATCAGAGGTGAAATCTCTTGTCTAAGGTCACAGAACTGCAAAGTGGCAAGTTGAGATTTGAACCCAGTTCCAAACCCCATGCACATTCTCAGCTACCTGCCCACCTGTCCCCAGATGTGACCTCAAGAACCTTTCACCAAGGCACAGTGAACTGGATGAGTTCCCACCTCCCTTTTCTGAGCACTCCTGAGCCATTTCCATTACTTTTAGTGCCAAGAAGCAGCGGCTTATAGGCAAAGCACAAGTGTTTTCTCCAAGTGAAGAGGCCTGTGAGGCAAGAAGCTACTAGTTCCAACAAGCATTTACTGAACACCTACTATGTCCATGCCATTGTGCCAAGTGATACTAAGCAGAGGAAAGGCTTAGCTGCCACCCTACCTACAAGTATTGCTCACTATACACAAGCTGGCACTGCCCCAGCGCTCACACCCATACAGCTCATTCTCTTCCAGTCTCTGGCACACGGTGGGAACCAGTGTGACCTCTAGCACCATAGATTAACTTTACTGGTCCTGAACTTCATCTATATTGCCATTATAGAGTTTATGCTCTCGTGTCCACACTCTTTATTGAGAACCGGCAATGTTGCTGAGCGGGGCTGTGGTCCTTTTGCAGGGCTGGGTAGCATTCCATCACATGAATGTGTCCTAGTGTGCGTATCCACTCCTCTGTTGGTGGTGATTTGCATTATTTCAAGTTCGAGACTTCGGGATAAAGTTGCCATGAATATACCTGCATAAGCTTTTGGAGGTCCTATGCATTTATAGATCCTTTGAACTTCCATGTACATGTACATTTTAGAAACAATTTGTTAATTTCCACCACAAAAACCTTGGGGCATGTTGACTGAGACTGCACTGAATATGTAGATCAATTTGAGAGGGATAACCCTTTCTGCAATATTTAATCTCCCAATCCATGAACATGGAATATGTTTGAATTATTTATGTTGTCTTAATTTTTCTCAGTAATGTTTTATAGTTTCCTCTGTAGAGAGGAAACATCTCTTTGTTAGGTTTTTTTCTTAGGTATCTGGTGATATTTTGTTGTTGTTATTTTAAATATATTTTTAAAAGATTTCACTTATTGGGCCTCCCCGGTGGCGCAGCGGTTGAGTGCTGGGTTGCGAAGCTGCCTGCAGCCTGTGCAGCGCCGGTTCGATCCCCGGCTGCTCCCCGGTCACCGAAGGAGGGTCCCACATGGCGCGCAGACCTCTCCTGCTGCCCGCTGCTCCCCTCAGCAGTGTCCTTCAGTCCTTCTGCCTGCTCTGCTCCCCGCTCTGGCTCTGGTGAATTCTCTCACCCTCCCCGCGCTTCTGACTGTACCCAGTGCTTGTATAAATAAATGAATAAATCAAAAAAAAAAAAAAGATTTTACTTATTTATGCATGCAAGAACTGGGGTACAGGGCAGAGGTGCGGGGGGGAGAGGATTCACCAGAGACAGAGTGGGGAACAGAACAGGCAGATTGACCAAAATACACTGCTGAGGGGAGCAGCAGGCGAGTCAGAACAGGTCTTCTGCACCATGTGGGTAGCTCCCTGGCCGGGGCTCGAACTCATGCTGCAGTGGCTGTGGATAGCTTCATAGGTTGAATCTTAACCCCTTGTGCCACCAGGGAGGCCGTATTTTAAATATTTTTAATGGTTTGTTGTTAGTATATGAACACATACTATTGATTTTTATATACTTACTCTGCGTCCATGAACCTTGCTAAGTGTACTTACTCTTTTTAAGAGTTTGTAGATTCTTTTGGATTCCTACAGAGGTAATCCTATAATCTAAACTACTGACAGCATTAGTCTCTTTCTTTCCAACCTTTTTACCTTTCACTTCTTTTTCTTGCCTTATTGCAATTGCTAGCGTGCTAAGTCCTCTACTACAATGCAGAATTAGTGATATGGTGATAATGGGAATCCCTGACCTCAGGTAGATGCATTGCATTAAAAACATAGTCCTGAAAATGTTTTTAGATACTCTATCAAATTTAAGTTCCCTTCTATGCTTAATTTGATGAGAGAATGTTGATTTTTTATCAAAATTTTCTCCCTTTATTGAGATATCATGTAAATTGTTTTGTTACTCTGCATATGTGCTAATTTCATTAACTGATTTTCAAACGTCACATCACCTTGCATTCCTGGAAGAGGATCTTTGTTTTTTTTTTGTTTGTTTATTTATTTATTTATTTATACGTACAAGAACTGTACAGGTACAGGTCAGAGGTGGGGGCACGGTGAGAGGATTCACCATAGACAGAATGGGGAGCAAAACAGGCAGATTGACAGAAATACACTGCTGAGGGGAGCAGTGGGCAAGACAGGAGAGGTCTGCTGCGCCATGTGGGTAGCTCCCTGGCCAGGGATCGAACTAATAACTGCAGTGGCTATGGACAGCTTCATAGTGCTGCGACTTAACCCCTTGTGCCACCAGGGAGGCCCAGAAGAGGATCTTTGTCATGAAGTATTACCTTTTAATATACAGCTTATGCAAGTTGGTAATATTTTGTTTCCGACTTCTGCACTGTTTTCACAAGAGATATTCGCCTGCATTTTCCATTTTCCCTTTCTTGTAATGATCTTGACAGGTTTATTGTGAGTGGGGGGGGGTGTTAAAATATACATAACATAAAAGTTACCATTCTAGGGCTTCCCTGGTGGCACAGGAATTCAGTCTCAGTACTATCAAGCTATTGCCAGCCACTGACAACTGAGTTTGATCCCTGGCCAGCGAGCTGACCCACATGGCGCAGCAGACCCCTCCTGTCTTGCCTGCTGCTCCCTTTAGCAGTGTATTTCAGTAGATCCACCCATTATGCTCCCCACTCTGTCTCTGGTGAATCCTCTCAACCCCTCTCCCCCCAGACCTCTGGCCTATACCAGTTCTTGTATGCATAAAGAAATTTTAAAAATCTTGGGAAAAAAAAAGTTATCATTCTAACCATTTTCAAGTTCAGGGGTAGTAAGTATATACACAGTGTTGTGCAACCATCACCACTGTCCATCCTCTTGCCAAGTTTTTGTATCAAGGTTCTGCTGTCTTAAACAAGGAGCGGTGGCCCCTATTTCTGCCTTTGGAATAACTTACATAACAACAGTGCTAGTTCTCCTTTAATGCTAGAATAACTCACATGTGACATTATCTGTGCGAAGAGATATATTTTTAAAAAGTTGAAAATTACAAATTTAGTTCCTATGATAGGAATAGAACTGACTACTCAGGTTTTCTACTTGTTTCAAGTTTGGTAAAAGTTGCACTTTTCAAGATATTTGAAATTTCGTGAAATTTTTCAAGTTATTGACATTAACTTGTTCTTAAATAGTTCACACTCTTTCTAATGTCCGAAACATCTCTAAGCATTGTCCCCTTTATCATCCCTGATGTTGACAGTGAATATCTTCTCCCTTTCTCCTAATCTCCCTCCTGCTTTTTTTCCTTTCTCTCTTTTATCGGCCTTGCTAAACTGATAACCAGGTTTTACTAGTGTTTTCAAAAAACTATTTTTCACAGTTTTGCTTTTCTCCATTTGTATATTTTTTCTAATTGATTTCTACTCAATATTTTGAAATCTAGTTACTTTTTTGTTTTGATTCCTACTTAATTATATTGGATCAAAGATCACATTCTATATGATTTCAATCTTTAAAAATATGATTCTTGCTTTATATATAGCTCAACATATGATGTGTTTTAGTAAATGTTTCATGTGCACTTGAATGTTTTTCTAGTTGCTGGGTATAGATTAAGTTGCTTAATCATGTTTTTGTAAATCTTCTAAATTCTTACTGATTTTTTTGGTCTGCTTTGAGAGAGCAGCATTTATTGAGAGAGTTGTGTTACCCCTCTAAACTATAACTGTGGATTTTTCTCCTTTTCTGTCATCTTTTTCTTCGATGTTTTGAAACTGTATTATGAGGTACATATAAATTTAGGACTGTTTTATCCTCTTGTTGAGTTGACTGTGAAATCATTAGTAAATGTTCTGCTATTTCTAGTAATTCTTTGATTTACATTTCTACTTTGTCTGAATTCATATAGCCACACCAATTCTCTTTTGGTTAGTGTATTGATGAGATATCTATACCTATATCTATCTCCATATATCCATTTCTTTTTTAAAAAAAGATTTACTTTTATTTATGCATACAAGAACTGGGGTGTAGGTCAGAGGTGCAGGGGGTGAGAGGATTTCCTAGAGACAGAGTAGGGAGCAAAACAGGTGGATCTACTGAAATACACTGTTGAGGGGAGCAGCAGGTGAGACAGGGGAGGTCTGCTGTGCCATGTGGGTCAGCTGCCTGCCAGGGATGGAACTCATGCCGCAGTGGCTAGTGATAGCTTGATAGCTGGTACTTAACTCCTGCACCACCAGGGAGGCCCTATATCTCCATTCTTTTTATTTTTAAAAAAGATTTATTTATTTATTTATTTATACAAGCACTGGGTACAGTCAGAAGCATGGGAGGGCGAGAGAATTCACCAGAGCCAGAGCGGGAAATAGAACAGGCAGAGTGATGAAATACACTGCTGAGGGGAGCAACGGGCACGGCAGGAGAGGTCTGTCGTGCCATGTGGGACCCTCACTGGTTAGCCGGGGATGGAACTGGCGCTGCAGAGCCTGCCGGCAGCTTCGCAGCCCACTGCTCAACTGCTGTGCCATCAGGGGAGGCCCACCTATATCTCCATTCTTACAGAAAAAACTTTCTGTGTCCTTGTACTTAAAGTATGTCTCTTAACAGAATATAGTTCTCTATTAAATATCCAAGCTGCAAATGTTTGTTTTGTAATTAGAGTGTTTAGTCCATAATTATTGTAATTAATGTAGTAGACTATAAACCTGCCATCTTGCTCTGTTTTCTCTGCCCCAGCTGTTTTTTATTCCTTTATTCTTTCTTCCCTGCCTTCCATTAATTAGTCAAGTATTTTATATGATTTTTTTCATTTCTCCTCTATTATATTTTTACTCACATATCCATTTATTATTCTTTTCATCTCCCTATATTTAAGGGAAAATCTTAGAGAAAGCAATACTTCATCTACAAGATAAGTTCTAACTATAAACTTTCGAAGTCTGGCATCTATAAAGGCTGGGGGTGTACCCATCAGGTTGACAGCCTAGTCCCAGTCCATGCCCACAAAACACAGCCTCCCACACAGTAACCGTACTAATAACAATAATAGCTACCGCATATATTTGCTGTTACAATATGCCAGGCACTGCTCTAAGCATGCATATATATATATATATTCTTTTTTTTTTTAATAGAGGCATGTTTTATTTATTTATTCATTTGTTTGTTTTTGTTTATACATGCACTGGGTACAGTCAGAAGCGCGGGAGGGTGAGAGAATTCACCAGAGCCAGAGCGGGGAGCAGAGCAGGCAGAAGGACCGAAGGACACTGCTGAGGGGAGCAGCGGGCGGCAGGAGAGGTCTGCGCGCCATGTGGGACCCTCCTCCGGTGGCTGGGGAGCAGCCGGGGATCGAACCGGCGCTGCAGAGGCTGCTGGCAGCTTCGCAACCCAGCGCTCAACCGCTGCGCCACCGGGGAGGCCCATATATATATATATATTCTTCAAATAAATTTTTTAAAGACTTATTTTATTTACTTATGCATACAAGAACTAGGGTATAGGCCAGAAGTGTGGGGATGGGGGTGGTGAGAGGATTCACCAGAGACAGAGTGGGGAGCAGAATAGGCAGATCTATTGAAATCTACTGCTCCCTGGCAGGAGCTGATGGAACTCAGGCTGAAGTGGCTGGCAATAGCTTGATAGTACTGAGACTTTAACCCCTGCACCACCAAGGAGGCCCCCCTTCTTAATTTAATTAACCATGAGTATGAACACGGATAAACACTGAAACATATCTCTTTCTTCTATTTCTTGTGTCTCTCAGCCCCTCTCATATTTCTAAACTCTACTTGAACCCTACTCCTGATACCTTGGCTTTTCTGATACTCCTAGGGCAGGTTCTTCCTGTGCCCAACTGCTCCCCACAAAAATCCCTGGTGGTGCAAGGGGTTAAGCACCACACTATGAAGCAATCCGCAGACTCTGTAGCTTGAGTTTGATCCCTGGCCGGGAGCTACCCACATGGCGCAGCAGACCTCTCCTGACTCGCCTGCTGCTCCCCTCAGCAGTGTACTTGGGTCAGTCGGCCTGTTGTGTTCATTGCTTTGTCTCTGGTGAATCCTCTCACCCCCCACACCTCTGGCCTGTACCCCAGCTCTTGTATGCGTAAATGAATAAAATCTTTTTTAAAAAAATCACATTCTGACTCATTGGCGCAGTAGGGCCCCTTTTCCCCATGTCCTTCCTGCTGCCTCAGTATGTCTGCTCTGACCTGCAGCGCTGGTAACTGAGGGAGATGGACACATCTTAATTCTGTCACAGCCCACCACGTACATACCACAACCCCCAAAAGTGTGTGCCTCTGAGTGGCCAGTCTGGCACAAGAATGCTCAATAACCATTCACTGAATGAAGTCAAGAGCAAACAACGAGGCGTGAATGGCCTCAGGATTACAAGAAAGCAGATACACAAGCCAAGCCAGTAACGCCAAGCAAGACCTCCCCCCTTGAGAAAGGAGACTGCAGGCTTCTCCATCGCCAGCACCCCTCCTTCCTTTTCTCCCCATCGCGCCAGCATGGGCCTGGGCTGGGCAGCGGGAACGGCAGTGAGCGGTCCCTTTTCATCGCGCAGGGCAACGGGAAACCCTGTCTCCTCTGGCGTCCTCACCGGTGCCCCTGCAGGTGCCACAGAGGCGCCCCACCCCCTTGCCGGGTCTTTCCTCTCTAGCGAGCACTCTCTCTCTCTCTCTCTCCCCCCCCCCCGCCCCCGCCTCGACTGGGCATGACTGGGCATCGGGCGTGAGGTGGAGGCCGGGAGGGCTGCATCCTTTCCCTACCTTGCTGTCCTTCCCTGCCTCCGGTGGCTGCTCCATCACTGCCCTTTGCGGCCGCAGCGCCCCGGGGTTCGGCGGCTGCCCCCGCGGCGCGCTCCCGCAGCCTGGTCCGGGCGCGCCCTCGCCGAGGCCGGGCCCCGCGGACGCTCGCCCCGCCGCGCGAGGAGTCGCCGGGGCGGGCGGGGCGGGCGGGACTCCCCGCCCTCCCCGCAGCCGCGCCTTTTGATTGGATGCCAGGCTCGCCGCGCGCGACGCCATTGGTCGCTACGCCTGTCGTTCCCGACCCAGGCCCCAGCTTTTAAGGCGCCGCGCGGCCCTGAGCGGGTGTGGTACTGGCGACCGGGGAGGGGTGAGGGGAGGGGTGAGGGGAGGGGTGAGGGGAGGGGTGAGGGGAGGGTGAGGGGAGGGGTGAGGACAGGGGCTCCGGGGCCCCTGCGGTCTCCGGCCACCCCGGCCCCGACCACACCCCCAGGCCGGGGCTGCCCGCCGCGCGCCCCCAACGGCCTCGCGCGGTCTGCGCGTGCGCGTAGCGCGGCCTCGGGCGGCGGGCGGCGGGCGGCGGGCGGCGGGGGGCGGCGGGCGGGCGACATGGGGAGCCGGGGAGGGGAAGGGGGCTGAGGGCGGGTGACGCTTCTGGGGAAGGGGCTGCCGTTGGGATTTTCGCGCTGGGCTATGAAGAGGCGGCGGGGGAGGCCGCGCAAGGCGTCGAGGGGCCGCCACGAGACCGGCCGCCGCAAACCCCGAGGCCAGTCCCCGGACCGCGGGCCGTCGCGGCCGTCGCCGGGCCGCACAGGGCCGCCTGAGGTGTTTGAGAAGCTGTGGGTGCCCTGGAATGGGCTCGTCGTGGTCGGAAAGAGAATGGAGCTCCTGGGTAGAAACACGCAGAAGCCGAAGCTGGAGGCTGACGACTGGAGGCTGGAGGGCGTGGAAAGGACGGCCTCGAGAGACCAGCCAGGCCTGACCCAGGAGAGGCAGGATTTGACGCCCGTGCGCCGCGTCTCCAGTGCCCTGCAGGCCCGCGCGGGCCTGGGGAGGGACAGTTCACAGGGGAAGGGGGAAACGCCAGAGGTCAAACACAGAACTGGGGCAGAATCCGAGAGCGCAGGGACGTTAGCAGGGCCTAGGAAGGGCCACAAGGCCAAGGAGAGGTTGAAGTTTGTTGAGGCGGTGGAATTCCGTGGAGAGGACTTGAGAGCGTCAGTATTTACAATAAAGCAGGAGGGGGAGATGCTGAGGCCAAATGGGAAGAAGCTGAGTTTGAGTGGAGAGAGTTTGAGGTTGAGTGGAGAGAAGCTGAGTTTAGGTGAAGACAAGCTGAGGTTGAGTGGAGAGAAGCTGAGGTTGAGTGGAGAGAACCTGGGGTTGAGTGGAGAGAAGCTGAGTTTAGGTGAAGACAAGCTGAGGTTGAGTGGAGAGAAGCTGAGTTTAGGTGAAGACAAGCTGAGGTTGAGTGGAGAGAAGCTGAGGTTGAGTGGAGAGAAGCTGAGGTTGAGCGGAGAGAAGCTGAGGTTGAGCAGAGAGAAGCTGGTGTCCAGCCGGGAGAACCCGCCTACCAGTGGAGAGATGGTGACAGCCGGTGTAGAGACACAGGAGTCGGGTGGAGAGAGGCAGTTGTCATTGGGAAGAGAGAGGCGGGAGTCCTGGGAAGAGAGGCGGGGGTCTAAGGGGATTAGGAGAGAGAGACAGGGGTCCTTGGCAGAAAAGGTGCTGTTTAAGGGAGACAGGCGAGGATCCAAGGGAGGGAAGTTGGGGCTTAGGGGAGAGAAGCAGACGGCCACGGAGGAGAAGAGAGGCAGCAGTGACGAGAGGGGGCGCTTAAGAATGGGGAGCATAGATGAGGAGCAGGTGGAAAGAGTGGTAGAATTTACCAGTGATGGAAAGTTCGTAGCTGCTGACGATACGGAGACGGAAATTCTGGCTGACAGGACTGAGGAGAAGGATGAACCTGGGGGGATGGCAGATGCAGTGAAAGCTGAGGAGGTGGCGGAAGTTAAGGAAGAGGTGGAAGCCTAGGAGGAGGGCTGGAAGCTGAGGAGGGCGTCTTGCCTGGAGGGAAAGACGCTCCGGGTGAATCTGCCTCTGTGGAAGAGAGAGAGGCTACAGATGAAGAGCCTGGTGATTGACGCAGATAAAGGATTAAAGCTAAAGAAGGGAAGAGAAGCAGGTGGGGTGGTATTGCAGGTCCAAGAGGAGAAATCAGAGCCAAACAGAACATTATTGATCCTGAAGGGGCAAAGAGAGCAAAGGCGAGCCTGTGTGCCAGAGAAGTAGGGGTGGGCGTGGAGACCCACGAGGGATAAAAGTGGACCAAGGAAGTGAAGAGAGTGACGGAGAGTGCCGCGGGACCCCTGGAGGAGGAAGGAAAGATTGGATAATGTGTACCAGGCAGAGGAAAACTGGGTACCGGTTACTTGGGGAAGAGCCGTGACTGAGGCCCCTGTGGGGAAAAGTGTGAGGCGTGGCTTTAGCGTGCGCTGGGAGCCTCGGGTCTGACGGTGACTGAGTGTGTGAGCCGGGGGAGGATGCAGTGAGAAAGAGGGAAAGTCACAGCAAGATAAAGGAGCGACAATACGGGCTGGGGGCGGACCTGCAGGCCGAGGCCAGCGAAGGAGACCCTGGAGAAGAACGGGGCACTCAACGCGGAAAAGCCAGAAAACGGGAAGAAAAAAGTAAGACGCCAAATCCCGTAGTGGGACCATCGCTTGTTGGGTGTTTACGCTTCTGCGCCGTCTCCATGTCCTCCTCCCCCACGCAGCCAGTGTCACGACTTAACCCGACAGGCTTCTCTGAGGGCTCTGTGCCTCTGCACCAGGGGCCAGCCTGTTGGTCTTGCTTCTGACTAACCCCCCAATTGTATCCAGAGTAGCTGCTGGCCTCCACTATTGAATGACTTTACCATCACCACCATTTCCCCCACGCCCTTCACACCCGCAGCAAACTTGAATTGCTTCTAATTGATTTGAAGGTATGATGATTTGCATTATTGTTTCCATCTGTTACTTATTCATGTAACCACGTGGACTTTTTCTTTTTCCAAAGATTTATTTATTTATGCATACAAGAGCTGGGGTACAGGCCAGAGGTGCAGGGGGTGAGAGGATTCACCAGAGCCAGAGCGGGGAGCAGAACAGGCAGACTGACTGAAGTACACTGCTGAGGGGAGCAGTGGGGGAGTCAGGAGAGGTCTGCTGCGCCATGCAGATTGCTCCCTGGCCGGCCGGGGAATTGAACTCGTGCTGCAGTGGCTGCAGAGAGCTTCATAGGTTGCGTCTTAACCCCTTGCGCCACCAAGGAGGCCCACATGAACTTTTTCATCACTTCTTTTGTGTCTGTCTCCATTGAAGACGTCTTTTATGTCTTCCACATCCCACCTACTGTCCACCCTCATCCCAGGGAAGAGAGAAGGACCCCCCTGAATGCTTCCTGTTAATACATCGATGTCAAGACTTAGGCTCTTACATCCTGTTTGCCAGTGGTCATGGATGTGAGAGGTGGCAACAAGCAGTTATGGGTAGTTAGGACAAAAGGAACACCAGCCCCCACCCCGCTTCACCTTTTTTTTTTTCTTTTTTAAATATTTGTTTATTTAAGCACTGGGTACAGTCAGAAGCGCGGGAGGGTGAGAGAATTCACCAGAGTCAGAGCTGGGAACAGAACAGGCAGAAGGACTGAAGTACACTGCTGAGGGGAGCAGCTGGTGGCAGGAGAGGTCTGCGCACCATGTGGGACCCTACCGGCGCTGCAGGGGCTGCGGGAGGCAGCCTAGTGCTCAACTGCTGCGCCACTAGGGGAGGCCCCCGCTTCACCTTTTTCTTTTAAAATGTATGTAAAATTTCTAGGGAGTAGAAACTTCATCATAGCATAGACTAACACTAGTATCATAACACAAATTTATAGTAGCCTGGATTTTCAAATGAAGTTTTCTCCATACCCTTTGCTAAATACCCCCAAAGATCCAAAGGATCAGTAAACCACTTGGCCTGCTTCTGTTCATATGCCAGACCTAACATAGCAATCCCAGTCCCTCCTGCCATTTTCTTTCTTGGAGTTTGTCATCCTCTGGGGCTGAAGGAGAGGGGCTGTGTCCTAGGCTGCTTCCCTGGGCAGTGAGCCGCCCTGGGTTGGGTCTCCTACTACCTGCATCTTAGGTAGTCTCCTCTTTCTGTTTTACAGCTTCATTTAGGTCAAACACCAAACATCATCTAATGACTTCTAGAGAAAGTAATCATGGAGGCCAACTTTGTGACACCTCATCTGTCTGAAAGCAGATTTTCCTCTCATATTTGATTGCTGGTTTCCCTGGCAATGGAACGGTAGGTTGGGAGTAGTATCCCCTTAGACTGTTAAAGGCATTGCCCACTATCTGCTCACTTCCAAGTGTTGCTGTTTCGTTGAGTCCAGTGTTGTTCTTTTATTTTTCATCCTATGGATATATGACCCACTTTTCTTCTCAATGTAAATTACCTGTTTTCTACCACCCCAGTGCTCAGCCTACACCCTCATCCTTGTTCTCAAAAGAATAGCCCAAATTTCTATCTGGAGGACACTCTACTGCTTTCTTTGAGAACATTCCTGTGTGAAAGCAGTAACACAATGAACAAATAAATTGTACCCCTTGTTGTGCTCCTACATTTTACATCAAACTGCACCAAATCATTTCTAGAAACATGCTGTAATTTCTCTCTTCTTAAAGAAGAAAGCCTCTCTTACCCACACACATTGCCTTGCTCCTCATGGCAGGCACAAAAACAGCCCCCCAAAGATCTAGTCACGTCTTAGTATATGTGCTGCCGAAGCGAGCACTCTGTTCACGGCTTAAGCCCAGAATCGGTGACTATTACCTCCTAGGACAGAAGAGCAGATACTGGTAAAGCAAAAGGTGCAATTCAGGTAAAGGTTTTGAGAGGGGGCCTTCTTCTGGATAATCTGGGTAGCTGCAAGTGCCACCACAAGTGTCCTCACAGACCACAGGGGAGATCAGGCTCACAAGGCAGAGGCAGCGGGTCAGCCACACGCCAGCAGCCCAGCAGTGTGCGCTGCAGGGCCAGAAGGGGCGGAGAATGAATTCTTCCCTAGAGCCTCTGTGGGGACAGTGGCCTCAGCCACTGCTGTGATGTTGTACTTCTGCCCCCAGAACTGTTGTTTCAGGCCACCCAGTTAGTGGTCATTTGTCACGGCAGCCACAGGACTCAACTACATTCTCGGAAAGTAGAAATTCTCCAAAAAGTTGTCTGCCTTGCTGTCTCTAAATCTCCTTTTCATCTGCCTTTTTGTAGCACACATTTTAATCTGTACAGAACAACGAAAAGATTAGAGCAACTAAATATTCTCTACTTAGATTCAACAGTTCAAGAGCAGCTTGCCCTATTTGCTGTGTCTCTGTTTACTTCACATGACTTCTATGAATAATCACTTCCTCCTGTGGATCCTTAGGCATCCACAATGCCTAAGTGAATTTAAAATGTTTTAATTTAATAAATTTAAAAGAATAATTCCTTAATATCACCTAGCATCCAATATATATTTGCATATCCATAGGATGCAAAATATTCAAATCTCCTTCCTCACCCCCCGAGTATATTTTGTAAATTTTTCCCCCAGCCCAGGCGCCTTCAAATCAGGGCTCATGTCTATACTGAACGTGATTTTTAATTCTTTTTCATCTATGTTGGCCTCCTCATTTGGCTTTTTAGCAACTTTGACTTTTTGAAGACTTCAGGCCTGTTTTCTCGGGGATTCCCACAGCCGCCTTTCTCTGCGTCCCAAAGTGGCCGTTTCATGTCTGTGGCCTGGGAGTTGGGGCTGTGGGCCCTCAGCTGTTTTTATGCAGCCCTTGTCACCCCCTGACTTGTTTTTGTTCTGTGGTTTTTCACGCTCCCTCTCTCTTTCCGTCCCTGCTGTACCGTCAGCTCCGTGAGGGAATCTGTGTCTGCATTATCTGGCCTCAGCCAGAGGCCAGCCAGCCGGAGGAGGCGCAAGTGTATCTGGGCGGTGAGTCAGTCCGCCACATTGGTGACTTAACCTGTCTCGTTGCCTTTTTTTTTTTTAAAAGATTTATTTATGTATGCATACAAGAGCTGGGGTACAAGCCAGAGATGCGGGGGGTGAGAGGATTTACCAGAGCCAGAGCAGGGAACAGAACAGGCAGACTGACTGAAATACATTGCTGTGGGGAGCAGCGGGTGAGACAGGAGAGGTCTGCCGTGCTATGTGGGTTGCTCCCTGGCCAGCTGGGGATCGAACTCGTGTTGCAGAGGCTGCAGATTGCTTCATAGTGCAGTGCTTAACCCCTTGCACCACCAGGGAGGCCCTGTCTCGGTGACTTTTAACGTCTGTGAAGAAGTCTCTACGAGAAGGGACCCTGTTCCTTATCTCACGGGTTTGAAGCCCTCAAGCGCGCCTGGCACTGCCTTTTCACCTGCTGGAAGATTGCTTAGCCCTAACTTCCCTGTAGCTCTGAGGGTGTTCTTTCCCCGTCCAGCCTGGCCACGTAAGAGTCTAGATCTAGTCCATGTCTGAGCCATTCTTTGCGGCCTGGTGTGCATGCAGACTGTCTCCTAAGCCTCTTCCTGTTCTCCCTGCTGGTCGGTCAGAGTTGCAGGTACCACAGCGCTGGGACTCTCCTGCGGCAGGCACTCGCTGACACTGATGTCTGTCTCATCAGAGCAACTTCGCAGGTGCCTTCTGCGTTCACCACCACTTCTTCCCACTGCTCTTTGAGAAGGAAACATGACTCTCAACTCTGCTGTCTGGGAGCTGCCCGGGCTGGGCCCTGAGCTGCACTGCAAAGCTCTCTGCTGAATCACCTCCCTGTTTTTATTCAACAATCACCCCCCATCCCCCTCTCCCTTACCTCCCACCCTATTTCCTAGCCTCTTGCCTGGGGGCCACGAATGATGTACAAGACAACCCTCATTCCCTGGGGGGAGACCTTGAATGATGCTGCAGTGGCAAGTTCCTAAAAACACAAATGCTACAAAGGTGCGTGTTTATGTTCTTTCCCAGGTCTGTCTTCCCGACATCGTCCACTCCTGGCCTCGCTGCTGACTCAGTACTGAGCAGGCCCGAGATCAAGACCAGGAGTGCTGGGGCCGGCCCGGGGCACACTGCAGGGCGTGCCAACAACAAGCTGCGCCATCGGATTCGTTCTGTGCCCAGATCGCGTTTTCTCCCAGGATCAGATCAGCAGGTGCGTTCCACTGAGGCCGCAGGAAAGGTGGCAACCAGACATCGAGACAAGTGCAGATATATCCAGTAAGTGCAGATATATCCAGTCAGCTGGGGCCCTAGAACTTTCTATATGTATAAAACCAAAATGCTCACAGGGAATTGAGGGCCCCTGAGTGGTTTCATTTATTTTTGTTATTCTGTTCTTTCTTGGCATGTTCTCAGTGGTCCCTGTTTCTTATAACAGGATGTGTTAGAAGCGCCATCGCCATTGATGTTTTAAAATTGTATTATGGAGACCACATTGGTTTACAATGCTGTGTGTGTTTTGGGGTTAGGATCACACCTGTACTAATGAGTGTTTCTACCGCATGCCCACCACCACTGTCCCACAGTCCACTGGGATCCCCCCTTGCTCCCCCGCTTCTCTCGCGCTCTGGTGGCCTCAGTTCTGTAGTGGATTGCAAAGGTTGTGACATTATTTTTTTACTTTTGTTCAAATGTCCTAATGGTTGGTTCCATTCATTCATTCAGCAAACACTGCACACGCACTGCGTCCTGGGTGGGATGCAAGCAGTGTGTAGGACCACGTTTAGGCCCCCGGTAGCCCGTTGAGACAGATGCCACAGTGCGCAGTGAGATGGGCTGGGGGGGAGCCCCAGGGGAGGAGGCAGTGGCAGTGGGGGCTGTTCACAGGGTGGTCGGGGAAGTGTCTCCATAGCGATGACCCACTAGGGCTGGGCCTGGAAGGGTGTGAGGCCCTTGACACTGGGGAGAAGAGCACAGATGTTCTATTTCTTTTGTTAATTAATTTTTTAATTTTCTTACTTTGTTGTGCATTTTTGTACAATATTTGCTCTCTCCCCTCAGGTGTAGTCCCATGAGTCTCCCACCACCATGGCACCATGACTGTCACCACAGTCCCCTGTGCTCTTCCCTCCGATTTGACCCCTCCCCTGCTGCAATCTAGGGTTTCTCTGCAAGTTTTGTCTTTTTCCTGATCGTTGGTTTGGTTTCCCTGTAGTCCCCCCCATTAAGGGGGATTTTTCTTTTTCCTTCTGACTTATTTCACTTAGCATAATCCCTTCCAGCTCCATCCATGTTGCCGCAAATGACGCGCGTTTGTTTTTTTTGATCGCTGAGTAGTATTCCATTGTCACAGGGGTTCTCAGCAGAAAGAATGGAGTTGCCTTGGTGGGCTGGCTGGGTGTGTTCCCGCAAAGGCAGGTGCTGTGGATGGGGGCAAGGAGGGTGCTACAGCGACAGCTAGAGGGGAGCTGGGGAGAGCTGACCCCCACCTGGAGCAGTCAGCGGGTGGTCAGAGCAGGAGCTGAGCTGGGGGGTGACCAGAGGATGAGGCAGGAAGGAGGCAGAGAGAGTGGGGATGAAGGCAGGAGGAGAGTGTGGAGAGGTTTTGACAGGCTTGGCTGGTTCACAGTGTATGGATCGTGAGGAGGGAGCCTGAGCTTGAGACTGCGGTAGCTGACACTGCCAGCAAATTCACACGCAGTCTCGCTGGATTCATCCTACCCTACAAGAGGGGTTGTGTGATTATTGGCATTTTATTTATTTTAAGTTTATTTATAATTTTTTTTATTTTTTACATCATTGCTCATTTTCAAACAATATTTGTGTCCCCCCACCCCTGATTATTGGGATTTTGTAGATGAGGCAGTTGGGGCATGGAGTTGTCAATCAAATTGACAAGTCAGGTGTGAGGTGGTAAGTGGTGGGGTTAGGATCTGAACCCAAGAGAGTCGGCACCCTCAGCTGCTACCAAGTAGCATTGGCGGTGAGCAGACACCAGTGCCATGACTGAGGGGTGATCTGGCCAGCCAGGAAGCGGTGCCGGAGCGCATGTTCTGCTCACCTACCACCCCCCACCTCCCTGCCCCTCAGCCCAGGCTCACAAGCAGGCCTTGAGGTGCCTCCTCAGGCCAGAGGTGTGTTAGGCTTGGCCTAGAAAGTATTCTAAAACCATTTTTAGCACATTTTTATTGCTCACATTTGAAAATATGGAAATTCACATTAAAACGTGGGTTTCTGGCAGCTTTTGAAAATCAAGAACAGGCCACACTGGGCCAGGAGGCCGCTGAGCTGCCTTCCTCGGCCTTGGGCTGGAGCCTATGTACCGAAGTTGCCAGACCCCAGGGGTCCCCACACAGCTACCCATCTTGCATCTCTGCTGTCCCCCCCACCTGCTGATCTTGCTCCATTCCTGGCTGGGCTGGTGCGTTTTGTCTTCTGTCAAGTCTAGGCCTCCGGATTACAGGAGAAATGGCTGACTACATATTTGAACCTTAGGGAATGAAGGGTAAAGACAACATGTTTTGCTGTGTTTCTTTTCCCTTCAAGCTGTGGGAACTGAGAAAGCTAAGCACCCACAACGCTTGAGTGCCCACAGGGAGGAGGACCGTGCAGGCCAAAGGTCAGAGTCCTAGTTCCTGAAACCCACACAAAGCAAAAAGTAATATAAATCACACCATGGAAAATGGCAGAAGCAACGGCAGCTTGACAAGTCCGGCTGTGATTTTTTTGTTTAATGTTTTTGTCATTAATAACTGGCTTGCATTTTGAGCAGCTGCTTTGGACCCTTGAAAAGAAGTTTTCATCATCTCCATAGCTTGGAATTCTCTGCAGAAACTTAGTTTCAGAACACTTTAAAAATGTTTATGACTTATTGAAGTTGAAAACATGTTTCTGTACTGCTAAGTTACAGTGTGCAGGGGCAGGGTGCTGGCATTTGCCCATGTAAACATTTTGTTACATTTGAGATGCAGCAACAGCCCTGCTGGCGGTGATCAGGGTGGTTAGGGTGGATGGATGGTGGCTTTTACACTAGTGAGTTTGCCCGCAGTGTGTGGACTGTGTTTAGAGATACAGCTTCACTCATAGCAGGAATCTAGAAAACTTAAATAAGGGACCAGGAAAATGAATATAAGAAAGTGAAAATCAAAATCAACAAAAAACTATGAACCAGAGACACTTTTTGGGGGGTGGGGGGCGGGAGGGGAAGGATTGGGGTCAGAATGGGGCGTTTGCAATTGTATGGGGGAATATAAAAATAAAATTTAAGATTAAAAAAAAAAAAAGAAAAATAAAACTGAAATAATGCCTAGAAAAAGAAGGGAAAAGGAATAATTTTGATAAAATAAATAGTATTTCCTGGGTGACTTATGAAAAAAAAAAAAAAAAAAGAGATACAGCTTCAAATAGTGGATGAAATGGAGCTGACCCTCCTTTCGGAATTTGATGCGTACCTGGGCCACATGGATTCAGGAGTAGGAGGGAGGCGGCTGCCCCCAAGGGACACAGTTTCTCAGGCCACCGGGTCTTAGGCCCACTGTCCGTCTCGTGACGGTCTACGTCCAGGCAGGCACGCTGAGCTGGTGCTGGAGAGGCAGCCCCGCCCGCCTCCCCTGGGAACTAGACATCGTCATACAAGTTCCTTGTCGCTTTGGCCTCAGGAGCCGTTTCTCCACGGGTTACACAGGTGAATCTACAGAGTGAAGCCGCACTCAAGGCTGCTCCTCTGACTTGGCCCCTCCTCCTCCTCCTCCTCCTCCGAGACCACCCCCCCCCACACACACACACATGCACCACTAGGTGGGACCTGGTCCTGTACTGTGAACAGTTATCTTGATTTTGATTTTGCTCTTTTCCTTCCAGACTTGTCTGGCCCCTTCTGCCCCTTTCCTGTGGGGCTCCACCTAAGGTGCCTTAGACTCGTGGCAGGCTTTTGGGTCTCAGTGACCCTGCTTTGGGCTGACCCTGTTTGGCTGGGCATTCATCCACCAGGGCGTGGGTAACTTTGGGTGCTTGATTTGGAAACTACATTCTTTCTCGTTTTCTTCTCTTATCGAAACACACTAATTGCATTCAAGTTCCTTTCCGTTGAAGGTCTTACACATTAGAGTATGTTTTGTCTTAATGTGGTGGATGGCAAAATGTATTCAGAACAGGCAGGTTAGGGGATCCTGGGGGTGCCCCTCACCTTGCCCAATAACACATTGGTTCTCTTCTGGTCTGTGCCTCCCAGAATCTGCTGTTCCTTATTGCTACCTGCTGGTTAGCATGAACTGAGAGTTAGGGACAGGGCAGACGCCCTGCCCTTGGGGAGAGGGAGCTGGCGGACTGATTTGTGGACAAGGCAGCATTTTGTTGCTGTAGGCTGACATCTGCTGTTTTACCTCTGTCACATAATGATTTCACTTTTGTGATGTGACCTTAAAAGCTGAGGCTCCCCAAAATATCCAGTCAAATTCATGGTAACATTCTACTACTTATTCATTCACTTAACAAGTATTTATCAGCTACCTATTATTTACCAGACACTATTCCAGATGTCAGGATTATAAGAGAGATCTAGCGTGGCCAAGACCCGTTGTCTTGGAGCTTAAGCCGTGGTGGAGGGAGACAGGAGACTTGTGTCAGTATGTGAAAGGACTAAGGATTGTGAAGGAAAACCAAACGAGTTGAGGAGCAAGAATGGCAGTGGCCTGGTCGCTCATCTCCACTGGCCAGTTGGCACGAGGTGGCTCTGGCAGTAGAGCCCGGAGGTGGGAGGAAGCGGCTGCGTGGAGGACATCCCTCCCAGGCAGGGCAGAGCCTCCAGGATGCCTCCTGGAGGGAGGGCAGGAAGTCGCCCACAGAGCGGACCTTGGTTTCCTCATCTGCGAGTGTCAGGGTTTGTTGGGAGGAACAAATGAAATCATCAGTGTGGAAATGTTTGTGTAAACCAGCAAGCGCTGTGTCCACGCTCTTCTCTTCACTCGCCTTCATGGGGCATTTGTAGCGCGTCTCAGTCATCACGGGTCATAATGGTGATATTACAGTTCTGCTCTTTCAGATTTTTTATTATTGAGGTGAAATTCACATAACATGTAATTAGCCGTTTTGAAGAGTGCAGTTCAGCGGCGTTTCGCGCATCCTCGCTGTTAGGCAACCACCAGGTCTTCCTGGTTTCGACACTTCTTCATTGTTTTTAATATTGCTTGATGCTGCCACTCTTGAAAAAGGGCTTTTTCCCTTTCTGTTTCTGGCCTTCAATTCCTGTGCTTCATCCGCAGGTCAGCCGGGCAGGTATTTACCAAACATCTGAGCAGCAGGCCGAGGGGTGCAGCGAGGGGGTGGCGGGGCAGAGACACCGGGCGCGCTCTGGGAACCCAT